TTTTATATTTACCACAGAAAATATACATGTGTGCACCAGAGAGAGGCAGAGAGAAAGAAGGGCAGAGACAGCAATGGAACGTGGCCACGCCAGAATCGTTTATCCTCCATTTTCCATCCTGTCGGGGTCTGTGTCAAGCCCACAAACACACCTCAGTATTCCTGAAGCTGGGTCTGCCCTGTGGGCTCCGGCTCCCAATGGACAGTGCTTCACCTCTGCTACAGAGCTGGGCCCGTGCCCTTTATTCTCCTCCTTAGAAATCTTTCCTGCATGTGTGGTTCCCGCTATTCCATGATGCAACTTAATTAGGTCCTTTGCTTAAGGGAAGATGGTTGGTCACAGAATAAGTATATGCGTGGACGTAATCGTATATACACAGTCATGTCTGTCTCTATATATTTATGTGTATTTGGGAAAGTCCTCTCAGGCAGGTCCATCACCTCTCTCTCCATGGAGGATGGAGGAGCTTGCAGAGTCTCACTGTATACCTGGGTGTTGGGAAGGAAGCAGGAAGACAGGAAGCCCACCGTGATGCCTTGTGCCAGGAGGAAGGAGTGGAAGGGGCCATCTCTCCTTTCACTTGTTCCTAAAGGTCTTGGTGTCAGATGATGGAGGAAGTGAAGAAAAGAGGTTCAGACTGCCTGAAATAACCCCCAGGTGGGTGCCAGTCCTCATTTTGGCAGTGAGACCCTCCATTCCCAAATGCTCTTCGTTTTCAGCTCAGTCTCCTGAGTCAGGTCCCTCCATGTGGCTGTCCACACTGTGTCACTGTCTACCTATGTCAGCCAGAGCTGGCCTAGATCACTCGAGGCACCTGGACCTTTAGTTGTACGTCAGGATGGGGGTGTCTATGGAAGGATTTTTTTTTAATCTATGGGAAATACTGAGAGAGAACCTCTTAAGAAAACTTTTTTTTTTTGAGAGGGTTTTTCGCTATAGGGCGCGTCGGCTCGCCAGACAGACAGAGAGAGACCAAGAGACAGAAAGCGAGAAATCACCCCCCAGGGGGGATGGTCACACCGCAATCCTTTCTCCTCCATTCTCCTCTTGGGATCTGGGGCATGCACGCACACACACCCGGCGTGAGTTTTAAGCCACTGGGGCCGGGACGCGAACTGCGGTCGACTATGTGGGAGTCCAGTGACATAGCCAATACGCTAACAGCTGGTTCCCAAAATAACTTATGTTTGGAACAATGCCAGTACACTTTTTAAAGCATCAACAAGAAGGTCATCACTTGTAGGCCCTGAGGTTTTTGTCCCACTTCCCCATCTGCCCGTGTCACTGTGAGCACCACTACTGTGCCCAATGTGACAGAAATACATGGCCTCGTCTTCAGCCTGGAGCCCAGAGATGTGCAGAAACGCTGTGTTCTTCGACTTATCTTTGGACCCAGAGACTCGACTGGGGACCCCAGGCCCCAACTACTTGTCGGAGTCTGAGAAGTAGTACAGGAACCACCGGGGAGGGCTCCCTGGCTTCTGCTGGTACCAGTGCATATTGTAGCCACCGACATTGACGTCACTGCTCAGGGCACAGCCGAGTTTGACTGTTTCTCCAGGAGATGCCGAGAGGGAGGGCGGCTGGGTCAGCACAGGCTGGGCAAAGGAACCTGCAGACACACACACTCATGGGTGATGGGGTACAGACGAGGGTACACTGCTTAGGGCCTGAGACAGAGGGACTGATGCTGCCCGGGGCCACCCTGATCTGACCCAGGCCTCACCTGTGCAGTGAGAAAGGATGAAGAGGAGGACAGGAGTCCAGGCCATGGTGGACACAGCCCTGCCGAGGTCTCTGTGCAGAAGGCGTCCTACCCCAGGCCTCTTATCTTCCCCACTGGCAGGAAGGGGTGGGGCGTCCACGCAGGTTTACTCCCCCTGGTGGTGATCTCTGCTGCACTGTCAGTCCAGCTGAAGGCAGAGCTTGGCTATTGAGACCAATGAGGCTGAAGTGTAAGGGCCACAGCTGACCCCATGGGGGTACCAGGGGGAAGCAGCTGCTGGGCAGAGTCTCATCCTCCACACCTGTGAGCAGGATGTGGGCCCACACCAGAGCAGACAGGGCTGGGAGTGTGGGGAGGATACAGCTGTGGGCACCCACTTCACAGATTGAGACAGACCTGCAGCTCCCCTTGCTGCTCACTGGGTGGCCTTTGGTCTCTCTCTGGACATGATGACAGGTGCTGGGCCTGTCCTCTCGTCACTGCCATTCCCTGACCATCGACCACACACCCTGGTGTCCCTGAGCAATTATGAATAATGAATAGACTTCTCCAGGGAAGGCATTTGGGCTGCTAGGACAGGAGACGTGGACAATATGATGACTGTACCCTGTGAGGAGGCTCCGGACTGAGAACACAGAGGGCTCTGGGGCGCCGTCTTAAGCATCTCCTTCCTCAGGACCCAGGGATGGAGGTGAATGGGAACTGGGACTGAGTGAGGAGTCTGGTCCTGCATCAGCACAAACAGAACCAGGTCTGAGGAACTGAGCAGGTGCTGAGAAGATGCCCCAGAGGGTGCACGTTCAGCCCTGTGCTGCATGATGA